CCTTTATACAGGACTAGCCTTTGACTAAACCCATGAAGATCTGGGTTAGAATTGGTCTTCAGTGACCCATGCTTGTTGTAAGAGACGACTACCGGGATCGGGTGGTCAGGCTTGCTGACTTGGTTCATACATGTCACCGTGTCCCGTAGATTGATGCTCAAGCCGTTGATCACTGGATTGTCTGGTCCAGATTTTATTATTTGCAGACCGCCACCATATTGCTGGAATATTGCTGAGTGTGGCATAAAACTAAACTCACTCACTCACTTTGACCAATTCATGAAACTCATGAAGTCACGCTTCCAGATATTAAACTGCTGTCATTTTGTTTATTTTTCAACATTTAATTTATCAAGTAAAATGTCCTTGACAGGATTATTAGAAGTAAGATATTGTTTGTCGGTAGGACTGAACATTACCAGTATTCCGATATACTGCAATACACTTTTGAAAGGACATGTATTACAATATCTTTTCTGAACCGAAATATTCAGCTAAAGAATATATGAAGTTTTGTGACTATCTCTGTGGTTTGAGTTACACTGTAGACAGTCTTTCTTTCACAACCCATGCCTCCCTTTTGTGTCACAAAATCCCTACCTACCCAACCTAATTTTACAATTTTCATTATCAGAACCACTGCATATATTTATAGGTGAGGTGAGGTGAAATTGGGTTTTACGTCGTACTTGAGAATATTTCACTCATATGACGACGTGCATGCGTGTGTATGTGTATGTGCGGCTGCTTGTACTAGCCCAGACTTAAGCTGGTTTTATAGTGCTAGCCCACGGAGATACCATGCCGCAGTGAAGCATGAATACCCCACTCAGACACATTATACTGACTCCGAGCCGACCAGTCCTTGTTGTACCCATTAATGTCGAGCGCCAGGCAGGGACCAACAAGTACCATATTTTAACGTCTTTTGGTATGACGCGGTCGGGGATCGAACCCACAACCTTCCGCACTCCGGGCGGACGCTCTAACCACTACACCACGGAGGCGGTCCATATATTTATAGGGCCAGAGTATATACAAAATAGGACAGGCATGTACCATCAGTGTCACTCGCTGTCAAACACTTTAGCTGCCAATATCACTGTACCTAAGGTGATGCTGGTAACGTGTGTTACTAGCATCCCAACATGGCGGCAGGTAAGATCGCTTGGCGATTATTTCCCTCGAATTAGCAGTCTTCCACGTGTATACAATCAAAATTAACACACTGATAAACCTTGATGGTGCAAATACATTCAATACACTAAGTTTGCTTATTAATGTCTATGTGTTGAGAATAAGCATTTGTAAAATCGAGCGAGGATGTCCGGTAACTCACAGGGGTGGAAATAACTTTAAAATTGATAGTGTACTCCAGTACAGTGGCACATGTAAAGTCACTTGCCCTGATAATTTTTCCACTATACCGACCATTTTCTTCTTGATTTTTTAAATAAACAACATAATTAACATTGGAAAGTCAACTGGACACCGGTACAGTGTGATATACAAATTTGCTTGCCCGACAGAAAAAACCACTGGACTCGGACATCGGGCAATGGGTTATTTCCACCCCTGAACTCAACCGACATCCAGACTTTGAGTTACCGACATCCTCACTTGATTTTAAAAATGCTTATTCTTCAAGGTTTATCAGTGTGTTAAATAACATATTCACTGTTACCAGCATCACCTTAGGTACGGTGAATATGTCACATTGCATATCACAATATGGGTACCTGAATCGCGACAGATTACATGACAATTTATGTGCCAGTACACAGTCCTATTGGTCAGTAGTCAGAGTGAAGTATGGATTCATTATTACTTTGTTCTGAAAAAGGTTTGAAGATACATATATGCCAGAAACTACAGTAGAAATTTTTAATCCTGTGCTCTGCAATATCACTGATTGTAAGATGCTTTTGCTAAACGATCATAGACGCTAACAGTGCATTTTTTGCTTTACGTCTCCCTGTATTGACGTCACTACGCCATTCCGGTCTGCCACTTTGTAATCAAACATTCCCATGGTAACTGACGTCACGATCCATGTCAGCTGTCATTGCCTGTAACTTTCATCTACAGTGCAGCTAACCCAATAATATCCCATTTCTTGCTTTGCTGTTGCTTCACTCGACTGGTGGAAACATAACAGTTAACTTTCTTGCTGATATAAATGTCTCAGTTCGACTCACAATTAAACAGCGACACGGCATGTTAATCAAAAGTAAGCCTGTGTCCAAAGTCCAACAATGCATCCATGGAATGTCATGTGAGTTGCCAGCTTCATCTGGATGTACTGATCAAAATGTATATTGGAAGTAGAAATATTATGTTCATATTGCCCCAGATGATTTATGATAATTGCAAATTGAAGTAAAATAACAAAGAGAAGATGTTTAACCTGAATGTAAACCATCTTCAAACTGCTTTTCATTTGTTTTCTTGACAACATGGTTAACATGGTTAAGGAGGATTATTAAGTCAGGTCGACACCATCATTTTTCTGTTTGTTTTCTGCCTTAGAATAATTGTTGGTAAGTGTTAAATTTGGCATCTAAGAAAAGAAATTTGTCCGAGTGCTTTAACATTTTAATAGTTCGGAGCAAAACTGTATTTTATTACACTATACGTTGAGTTAGAACAAACTGTATTTCTAAAGTCCATAGGGTTATCATCTGTTATTCCAAACTAAAAATTGATTTGGTCAAAAGTGGAAGTTCTTTTTAGCTTACTTAAAGCCTTGTTTTTTACCAGTGCATTCAGCATCTCTTTTAAAAATGTGTTCAACATCTTCTCTTTTAACAATGCATTCAACATCTTGTCTTTTAACAATGCATTCAACATCTTCTCTTTTAACAATGCATTCAACATCTTCTCTTTTAACAATCCATTCAACATCTTGTCTTTTAACAGTGCATTCAACATCTTCTCTTTAACAATAATTCAACATCCATTCAACATTCAACATCTTCTTTAACAATGCATTCAACATCTTCTCTTTTAACAATGCATTCAACATCTTCTCTTTTAACAATGCATTCAACATCTTCTCTTTTAACAATGCATTCAACATCTTCTCTTTTAACAATCCATTCAACATCTTCTCTTTTAACAATGCATTCAACATCTTCTCTTTTAACAATGCATTCAACATCTTCTCTTTCAACAGTGCATTCAACATCTTCTCTGTTAACAATATATTCAACGCCACTTTTAACAATGCATTCAACATCTTCTCTTTTAACAATCCATTCAACATCTTCTCTTTTAACAATGCATTCAACATCTTCTCTTTTAACAATGCATTCAACATCTTCTCTTTTAACAGTGCATTCAACATCTTTTCTGTTAACAATATATTCAACGCCACTTTTAACAATGCATTCAACATTTTCTCTTTTAACAATGCATTCAACATCGTCTCTTTTAACAATCCATTCAACATCTTCTCTTTTAACAAAGCTAATTCTGTTGCTCGTCATTGGACTTGTTAATGCTGAGATAGAAAGCCACATATACACAGTCATGACATCACATTAGGACATTTTTATTTCAAATTTTTAACATTTTGCTGGCATTTACTACTGACATGGAGAAGATTTTAACATTCTTGGTTATGGTCATAATTTATTACATACATTTTGATTACATTTTAAACACTTGATAATTATTCTGTCCAAGAAGTCAGCAGGATGTGCTTGATGCTTCCTTATAAAACTTGATTGCCATGACAACCCTGTCCACACAAACCCCTCTATTGTGCTGGAACCACATCTCTGTGGTGCTCCTAAAAACGATTACACAGAGACAAGTCAACATGAAAATCGTTTATAGGGACGACAACAGAGCTGGGGTACCACAGCTAATTGTATTGATGCAGGCAGACCAATTCTGTCTCTAGCCCATGGCTGTTCACACAAAGGGTGACTGTGTTAAGTACCTGGGTCAGAGACCTAGTTTGATAGGAGTTAGGACACATTGTCGATTATTCAGTGTATAAAATCTCCATTCTGTTATGATAAACATCTTGGCGCCATTTGCTGTTGACATTTGTTTTGAGTCCAGTACCACTGACACAGTTGTTAAAATAATCTGCCCGTGAAGATCTGGGTTAGAATTGGTCTTTAGTAACCCATGCTTGTCGTAAGTGGCGACTAACGGAATCGGTGGTCAGGCTCACTGACTTGGTTGACACATGTCATCGGTTCCCAATTGTGTAGATCGATGTTCTTGCTGTTGATCACTGGATTGTCTGGTCCAGACTCGATTATTTACAGACCGCCGCCATATAGCTGGAATATTGCTGAGTGTGGCAAAAAACTAAACTCACTCACTCAATCAAAATAATCCTCAGTGTTTAAGTGACGCAGAAATGTGCATCTAGTACGTGGATGTGTATAGTGGAATGCACCAAAAAATATGTCATGCATTTTGAGGGACATAAGTAATATTAACTGAACCAACTTCTTGACAAGACAAATAATTTTTTTAAATTTTTTTTTTTATCATCTTGATTTCCACATTTTACATAGTACATGAAGAATGCATTCACATAAGTATATTCATACAGATATTCATATACAATATATCAAATATATTCAATACACCCTCACAAATCCCCTTCATACAATGAATAAACATCTTTGAATATGTTTTGTATATCTTATCTCAGTGATTCCAATACTAATAATAGTAATTAAATACATTTATTATATGTTTTCTGACCTAGTATTTTCTGTAAATAGATTGTGGAAAGATGACCAGAAGGTACAAGACAAATAATGGTCCTGTAGATCAAAGTAATTATAACATCTTATAGAGTACACTACACCATTTCCCTTCGTTACAGGACCTTCATGTTTCCAGTAAAGACTGTTCAAATTGATAATTGTCCTCTGTAGATTTTACATTAATTTTGAAATTATATCTGTCATGGAGTCTGTGTCTTTTATATGGTTCTGGTTTATGTTTCATTTGATTTTGTTCTTCTGCAGGTCTCGACCCACCTGTGCCGCCAACGTCAACGCAGCTGCGCCTCCGTAAGTGTGCGTCATCGACAGCTGCTACCAGCTGTCTCTAACATTATAATTCATGTCCTATGGATGAGCTAGTTGTCATTCGTGCTTAGTGTAAAAGACTAATTTGAGCATGGTTAGATTGTTAACCAATCAGAACAAATCTGAATTTACGTTAAATATTTGATTCACTATATTCATTCATGATATAAAATATGCAAAATTTGTATATGATTTAGAAAGCTTGAACACTCTAAGGTGCACAGAAACATGCACAAATGCTACTGAGTGTAGGCTGATTTAATGAGATGAGTTTTTACACCCTTCTTAAATATGTCATATGATGCTAAACAATTCTGTTAATAATTTGATATATCCATCATGTATTAATTCAGCATCACTTGATTCAGTTTGCAGTTCTGAAAATTCATGACAAACCTTCTTTTCCCCTTTATTTCCCATATTTGTAGACAAATCTTGATCTGTGTCAGTTTAATGCTTTGATGACCCTAGCTGGCAAATGAGACCCTGATCGGAAGCTGAATGAACTGACGTAGGCACTTAAACAGGAATTACCAAACCTCTTAATTTCCCATATTTTTTGGACAAATCTTGATCTGTGTCGGTTTAATGCTTTGATTAACTGAACTGAACCTGATTGGAAGCTGAATGAACTGACGTAGGCACGTAATCAGACAGAGGATCCTAGTGTTGAAAATGAGACATTTGATCAACAGAATGAGACATCTGGCAGACGTCATAATGTGACAGTTCAATTTGTGCTGTGGACCAGGTGTTCATTAGCTCTGACTAATAACATTTATAACCTGATGATCTGAAATATGGGAAGAATTATGAAACATTATCAATATGTAAATTCTGTCAGCATCACAATAATCATGATAATATCTGGCATGAAATAGTGTAATGTGATAATATATAGTTATAATTTACTCACACAATACACAAACTTAACAGACTTGGGCCTAATAGAAAAATGTTATGGTTCCGATTACCCGACCAACCCTTGAATTCTAGTACCGATCCAATTTTGTTTAGAGGTATGAATGAAATAAGCTTTCAATGCCATCATTTTCCCCGGCACCGACGGACATCGGCCATTCTGATAGAGAAAGCCAACAGGATGGCCACAAACGTGCAATCTGAAACTTGATTGAATAAACAATTACACATTGGTAAATGTGCTATTAGTTCGTACTTTTGAAAAAAAATGCCCCAAAAATATAAATTGCTTTGTTGGTGATTCATTCATAAATGTTATCACTCACCTGTGATGTGAAATTAGTTTGATTTCTTTCAGATATTTTCTTCAGTTTTGCTCAGTTACTTCTTCAGTGTTTAATGATTGTGAAGTTATATTTAGTTCACTATTATCGATCTAGTGCTCATACTTTTCAGTTTTGTTGAAATTCACGTTTTTAGACCTTTTAGGGTAATGCTGATTAATCCCAGGGAATACCTCTTGTCTGCCTCTGATTAAATTTGTAGGGCTTGATATGCCAGGCTTGGAATAAGGTCTACATGCAATCTCGCAGATTTACTGCAGACATACAAAGAAGTTCAGTTGACTGAAATTCCTTTTTAATGTTAAGATTTGGGGTTGAGCTATCTACATAAGTACAGTAGATATATTCCGATTCAGTCATGGTAACGTTCAGTGGTTATGATGTTTCACAGTACAGAGTTGTCTCCCTTGGGCATGCCAGAACAGTACAATCGTAGTTCATTTCCCTCAGTTTGGCCCGATTGTGTTTCTTGGTTGCACCCTACCTGTGCTGGTTGGTTTTAGTATGAATGGAATACTGTTTGAAGTAGTTATAAACAAAACTCACTTGGGTAGTTGGGTAGCCTTAGTAGTGGTTAAAACATTCGTGTCACACCAAAGACTAGGTTCGATTCCCCACATGGGTACAGTGTGTGAAGCCCATTTCTAGTGTCCCCCACCTTGATATTTCTGGAATATTGCTAAAAGTGGCGTAAAACCATACCCACTCACTTATTTATGCTCTTCCATAATTATGGCCAATTCAGAAAGCCTTTTACTTGTTCACATTTGTTGAAGATCCCGTTTTTTCGACTTTTTAGCATAAACCCCATCAAACTTTACTGATTGCTAGCCTGATTTTCATTATTTATGTGACAGAAGTGTCAAGTGTCCTGTTTGTGGGTGTCGGTCTTTTTCTCCAGTTTCTGTCAATGAATTGCACCAGTCATATTTTAATGTAGCACATATCTCAAAATGTTGGTGGTGCTTGATTAATAGATATGGGACAGTGCGATAGCATAGTTGTTAGAGCGTTCGTCGAAGATCCGGGATCGATTCCCCACATGGGTACAATGTGTGAAGGTCATTTCTCGTATCCCCTGCCACGATATCCCCTTGCTAGAATATTACTAAAAGTGGCGTAAAACTATATTCACTCACACAACTTTTAATGATCTGTGGCTGAAATAGAAATGATATGTAAGAATCTCTACAATTACTTATATTTTTGGGGTGAAAAATGTTGGATGGATATGAAACATATATTATATCTGTATCTTCCTGAATGCATCTTTTTAAAATTTAACAGTAATGTAAAATATTTATTATGTTCCTTCTTTACATGATACCAAAGCCATGTAATGGTAAGAGTACTAGTGAAGCTAATAATTTAACTAAACATACACTGGTCAGCCAAGTAAACAAACTGGGATTTATTCCTATTCGTAAGTGTGTTTATCAAGTTGCATATGAATAAAAAAGCTTTAAACTACTTTGTTTTCTTCATTTTGATCCACTGATCCTGAACATCAATTATAAGAACTGGTGGTGCTTTAAGTTGGAGATGAATCGATAATCTAGACAATCATATATAAGCTGTAAGCCACTTTGTAGATATAACAAAAGGGCAGTAATTCCCAATTTGCGTCAGCTCTAACAAAACGTGACAGCTACGTCTGGTCATCTCATGTAAACCTGCTGTTGGTGGCGGCAACAACACCGTATTGACATTCTCTCTGAATTCATCTTTGTGTTTTGCGAGACTTGAAAAATCCAATTACGCAGATGTGGGAAGACAATTACCTAGAATGTTTTATCCAGATTACAATACAAATCACAGACCTTTCTCTGGCAACCCCTGGTCTCTAACTTTTGGCTTCATTATCCCAATATCGATGTTCCTAATGACATTGCCTGTTGGATGTGTTTGAGATGAGAAGGGAATTTTCTTGTCTCTTCCTCTGATTAAAGTGGTAGAAATGGACGTCATACACTCAGAATAATCTATATTCAAGGTTTCCAGATGATTAGATCAATGTGGAAACCAATCACACAAATGTACAAGCAGACATTCCACCTTACATTTTGACGTCAAGTGTCCGCAATTCCTTTTTAAAGTTTAAATTATGGTTTTTCTATCTATATAAGTAGATATATTCAGATTCTATGTAATCATGGTAACTTACAGTGATTATGATGTTACACAGAGTTGTGTCCCTTGGGCATGCCAGAACACTATGATCATGATTCAAATCCCTGTTCTTCTTCCTAATGATGTTTCTTGGTTCGTCTGCCCCCTACCTGTGATCATCGGTTTCACTAAGGTTCTAAACATCTAACACCTGCATGAGTTAAGGTTCGCCTCCATATCAATCTTATCGCTGTAAAATATAATCCATACTGTCCATAAGTAGTGTTGGGAATTGGTTGAAATCTCAAAATTGATGATTGGTTTAATACCAACGACCAATCATCGAAAAAGAATTGGTTAGCGTCATTTTGTAGATTTTCCTATTCAGGTTGTAGTTGCAGATAAGTATAAAGAAAAAAAAACCATTTGGTTCTCTGTTGTATTTTTTAGAAACTGCACAAATCACATTTGCAGATTTCACATCCAGTGTAAAATGATTCAGTTCCAGTGTAACATTAACTTCCAAGATTCTTCAAGAAATATTCAGTCATGACTTTTCAGAAAGTGAAGTGAGTTTTCTTAGAAATAAACACGTTTTCAGGCCCTGACAACGTCCTAGATATGTTCCATCATCAAGTATTTCAAACTCTATTACAGCGGTTCCAAAATCGTTTGTGTTCGATTATGAGAAAATGTGATCGATTGCTTGGTCGTTTGGCCACTGCGACCAATCTTCGATTATTTCAATTAATCGGACCACCACTATCCATAAGTGGTTAAGATGAACTACACTCATTTGTGCACAATTGTGATTGTTACCAAATCACATAACGGTAACTCTTTTTTAACTGAAGTGATCTCTGAAAATGTTTTGAATAGCAGTGAATATGTTTTTTTAGATATCTGAAAATATGTGTATTAGGCTCCATTGGATTATGCCTGACAAAACAATATGTGTCAATGCTTTAAAAATAAGTAAAAAACAAGAGGAAATGATGTAATTGTATCAAATCCTGTTGACACCTGCGCTGCTGGAGGCCATGATAGAAACAAAATACCTGATAAATGCCAGTATTCGCAAAGAAATTGTTACCAAAATATGCTGATGCAACCAAACACTTTGCTGACTAATCAAGTTAATAGGTTTGTACTGACACCATCGGGAGCTGTTCATCCCAAATACACCAGGCCGGACAGTCCTGAATTATTGATTGTATTTTCTGATATTTTTGGTAATCCTAAACCGAGCATCAATAAAAACTTGCCAATATGACAACTGGTAAATCTATTTCCAGAGAGATGTGAGAGAACAAACGAACGTAATGTAACACCTGCAGAGACAGAGGCTATATTTGTAGATGCTATACAAGATAAAGCCATGATGAATTAATGATTAGATTTTCATCAGCACCACGTGTCGTCATTGTATGACTCCGAATATCAGATGAAGGCTTGTTGGATGGTTGGTCGTTGTTTAACGCAGCACTCAGCAATATTCCAGCTATATGATGGCAGTCTGTAAATAATCCAGTCTGGACCAGACAATCCAGTGATCAACATCATGAGCATCAATCTACACAATTGGGATACAATGACGTGTCAACCAAGTCAACGAATCTGACCACCCAATCCCGTTAGTCACCTCTTACGACAAGCATGGGTTGCTGAAGACCAATTCTAACCTGGATCTTTACAGGTCATCAGATGAAGGAAGTCTTGTAGAAATACTTGATACATACTATATGTAGATCTGATAAAAACAGCATCATCATCAGTTGAAACAGATGATTTTAGTGCTTCCAGTGATTAAATAGTCCTTTATTATTGCGTTTGTTAATTTGTGCTCCCCATGCAAGTTTAGCAGGGTGCAGTGCCCTGCCCTTTTATTTGGCCCCTGCCCTTCTTTTATTACAATGATTGATATCAACACTTGATGGGTTTTAGTTTCTATTTGATGTTGAAGTTAAGCAAATTAACTGTGCTCATTAAGCCCTGAAGAGTCATATGCATCAGGTAAACTAAACATAATTCTTGGTAATCTGCCATTGCATGCCATTTTTGGAATAGGGGTGCCACTTTTGAAATTCTCTTGCCCTGCCCTTTTTGGATCCTGGGGAAATGTTATTAAAAGCGAGTCCAATTATATTTCTTGTTTTACGGATCCGCTGGTCGTATTTTTTCAAGAATTAGAAAAATAGTATAAATTAATTTTCCCGCTCAAAAAATAAAATTTTACTATTTTTATTAGCCAAATATGTAAATGTGCAAGAAAATATTTTTAGATTGTTTTTTGCCACATATATACTTCATAAATTGCCCAAAGTAAAATACTTTTAGTATTTAAAAGAAATATTACTTTGACTGGTGATTTTTATTTTTATTTTTTTTCCCTCCTGGGGCGGTGGGGTAGCCTAATGGTTAAAGCGTTGGCTCGTCACGCCGAAGACCCGGGTTCGAATCCCCACATGAGTCAATGCGTGAAGTCCATTTCTGGTGTCCCCTCGCCGTGATGTTGCTGGAATATTGCTAAAAGCGGCGTAAAACTAAACTCAGGCTGTCAGTCAGTTTTTCCCTCCTGCCTTTAGTTTTTTTAGGACAAAAATCCGAAAAACAAGAAATGAAATTTGTCTGGCCTAATGTTAATGTTTTAGTAGAGTGTGTGTGTTAGATGGTAGACAAAACAAGATGTTTTCCAGACTTCTGTATTTACCTTATATCCTATTTGTCACAATAGCTAGGCTATCAACAGCTATTACTTGTGCATAAGTGCACAGTCTGGCCTTAGGAGCCATAAATAAAACAATGACTAGCTTATCGCTTCCTTCTCTGATTATAGGAAGCTAATCTCCCCAACCCCAGTTCCACACCAAATGTCACCCACTTGAAAATATCATGTTTAACAAGACAACACTGAATATTGGAAGATGTAGTTTTAATTATGGGATGTATGTACATTTTAAAAACTTCAACAAAAACTAACACAATGTTTCTTCCTTTCCTGACCTTCTCCATTAATCGGGGCAGTGGTTACAGCGTTGGCTCGTCACACCGAAGACCCAGGTTCTTTTCCCTACATGGGTACAATATGTGAAGCCTATTTCTGGTGTTCCCCGCTGTGATATTGCCGGAACATTGCTAAAAGCGGCGTAAAACAAAACTCACTCACTCAATTCCAAAGTCACAAATAATTAAATTTAAATGATTCTTACAATCATGTCTGAATGAATATATTCTTAGAGACTGTTCATGATTTATGGCTAGGGGTGATGATGATTTTAAGGGGGTCACCCATTTTGTTCTGGGGAGGTGGGCAGTCATCAATTTTGTATGACCTGCAACGGCTGCAAGGGGAGGGGGTCACTTTAAAAGGAGAGGTCTGACTAAAAACACAAAATATCGCTCAAAAACTTGAATCCTGAATTTATTTAACGTGTGGGGGTTAATTGACCTGATTCCCTGGGCATGCCCTAGCAGCAAAAGGTTTTCCAATCTGTTACATCGACTTAGGACTAACACAAGCAAATGCGGGGCCACAAATATCCCCATCTGCCGGGAATTGTGTTGATGTTACACAAAGACGTAATGGCTATGTTCAACGAGGGCTGATGGAGACGCCATTGGTGTTCTGTCTAGAAGAAACCCTTCACGGGAAGAGGTTCTAGTTTTTGCATAACGGAAATTCAGTGGATCACTTCCATAATGCTCTTCCATTCATAGAACAGGGTTATGTAGGAAGATATGACAGGAGTAACCTCTGTGGGAAGAGAATGACTGAAGACAACTTCATCCTCAGATCTGAGACACCATTCGCGGGCACCATTTTAATAAGACTTTCCAAGAACAAGGAACGATATCAAGTTTTGCAGCTGAAACCTATTGCTATATTATCTTCTTTGAGTGGCATTGTTTAGAAGTTGGAGGTTACAAAACAAACAATAAACAATATCCAATCAGATTCTTTATTCAAGTATGAGTAAGGTAGAAAACGGGGAGTATATAATTAACTAAAACAACAGAATTGGGATGTGTAACAATGAGAGGACAAGGACATCAGTGCTTGGTCCGTTATTGTGATATTTAGCAAGGATGAAAGAGTAACATGTTTGGGTGGCTGAAACCCTTCACTTTTCTTTGTTTCAGTGGCCTTCATAATTCCATTCAGCATGATCGCCTGTGTAAGTCTGCAGGTTCCAATTATCCAATCAATTATTCAGCTCGATAAGGATGTAATTATTAACGCTGTCTTCAGTCAATTACAGCTAGGCTATTTTACTCTCATCGTGTTGACCCCCTTCGACAGGGGGATACGTTGCCGTAGTCAGCCTCTTTAGATCCCAGATTATATGGATGTGATTCAAGCCAACATATTGCCTGGGGTGCCGAGGATGATATTAGCCTCATCACTGAAAGGAATTAGGTGCTGCTATACTGGGAATAGTAATAGATGAACAGGGATTTGACTTAATATATCTCAGCATCTGTATTCGTTCAGTGTGACAATTCGGTACAGATGTTACTGCATCCTTCTGAGATGCCATACAACATACTAAAAGATAAAACTTGGTTTCTCTAAAAACACTGGATTATTTGGTCCAAACTTAATTATTTTCAGACCGCTTTCATTTAGCTTGAGAATTTCTGAGTGCAGTGTTAAACAATAAATGGTGGGTTTGTTGTTGTTTAACGCCGCACTCAGCAATATTACGGAAGTCTGTAAATAATCGAATTTGGACCAGACAATCCAGTGATCAACAGCATGAGAAACAATAAATAGATGTTTTGTCATGTCATTATTTTGCAGTCACAATGACAGTTATGTGAGATAGCAGGGAAAGAATAAACCACCAATGGCTGTGGTTCATTTAAAGAGATCATTGCCGGCCATTACTCTTTCAATATTCATCCTGTTTACTTTGGAGTAAGCGCTTTAGACATTCTATAAAACAAATTTGAATTGAAGCTCCTTGTTTTACCAATAATTTTACCCTTTTTTCAGAAATTTCTTTTCTTTGTAAAACTGAGGACAAAATGCATTTATAGAGCCATCCTTCCAGGTTGTTTAATCGCTTTTTGCCAGATTTGACATTATTTTAAAAGATTTGTGCATTAATTTCTATTTCTTTTTGCCAGCTTTTTGGTTCAAGGAGTTTAAAGCATGGCTGAAAAAAAATGAAACATAGTACTTTAGCATAGATTTGAAAAATATGGAACCTGAAATATGGCTGCCATATTTTTTAGTCCACAGATAAATTTTTTTAAAGTGATGACCCATTGCCCGACATCCGAGTCCAGGTTTTTTTTCTGTCGGGCAAGCAAATTTGTATATCACACTGTACCGGTGTCCAGTTGACTTTCCAATGTTAATTATGTTGTATATTTTAAAAAATCAACAAGAAAACAACCGGTATAGAGGAAAACTTATCAGGGCAAGTGATTTTACATGTGCCACTGTACTGGAGTACACTATCAATTTTAAAGTTATTTCCACCCCTGTTATTCAAGTACACTGCTGATTACAAGCCGCCATTGACCTCTGTTTGATGAAAGGTTCATGAAAATTTATGTGTAGTGGAATTAAGTGGCAGTAAATTGGAATGGCAAGGAAAGGTATTGTGTCTCCAACCATTTTGGCATTTCTTTGAATATTTTGCATTTTGGTGCTAGTCTAAATTTCTAATCAGTTATTTATGCAAATTGCTAGTGCCGTGAAGCTTCTGATTGCGAAAATCAAAGTATCTTGTAATCTATGACAGAATATTGATGGCTTGTTGATCCGAGAACATTAAGCAGGATAGAATAGAGGGGAAGTTCTTTGCCAAGGGTGGTCACTTGCATGCATTTTATCTGATTTTTTGGATAAGTAACCCACACAGATTGTCCAGGAAGTGTGGCTTGGATCAGTGATTTGACCCTGTCGTACAAATGACCTTGAAGCTTTAAAGTTTAATAACATTTGGGAAATGTTATGAAAAGATATGAAATCTGTATGGACTTTGTAAATTGTCCGTGGCAGAAGGGATGCCAATTAATTAACCTGTGCCTTTTTAAGGTAACTGAGTGGAAATGCCAAGGCCAGACCAATTTTATTTCTTGTTTTACGGATTTTTGTCATCAGAAAACCTAAAGGCAGGAGGTAAAAAGAAAATAAAGATAATAAATACCAAAAGTATTTTACTTTGGACAATTTATGAAGCGTATATGGGGCAAAACATAATCTAAAAAAAGAATTCTTGTAAGTTTACATTTTGGACCAATAACATTAGGATTTTATTTTTTGAGCAGGGAAAATTAACTGTTATTTTCTTTCTTATTCTTGAAAAAATACGACCAGCGGATCCGTAAAACAAGAAATAAAATTGGTCTGGCCTAACTGGGTTTTGGGGGCTGCGTAAAGAGTCGGACACAATTCCGAGTTTTCTGATTGTATTCATCATAGCCTCATGAATTTTTTAAATATTTTCAATGTGATATAATTTCAATGTTGCTGACAAAGCTGTTTGACTATTTCCTTTTACTGTTTAGTTTGTAGTCCATTCATTCATTCATTCATTCATTCAATGAAGTGAAATGCAGTGAAAAGAGAAATATTGTTGGATGCTGTATGGCACTCCAGTACCTTGACTTGCAACAGTTGTAGTGCCAAGGTTGTTTTGTACAATGGTACTCTGGTTATCTATAATGCCTCGGTCAGCTATGATGGTACCGCTATGATCAAGAGTAATGACAGTGATCTATAAAAAATATTTATAATCAAGCCTGGGCCAGAAAATCTGGTGGTTGATATTTCCTCATCATGTCTATTATTATTATACCCCCACCGCGTTTAAGCTTAAGCGGGGAATATAGTATTAGGCTCCGTCCGTCCGTCTGTACGTACGTACAAATTGGAATATCTTAAGAACCGTTGACTGGATTCTTTTCATATTTGGTACCTAGGTTCATCACAGTAAAAGTGAATGGTCCCAGTCAGGTATGGTGACCTTGAACTTTATTTTAAGGTCACAAGGGGACTATAACGTTTTACCCTTGTCAGCGAGATATCTCAAGAACCGTTCCCTGGATTTTCTTCATATTCAACACCAAGCTTTATCTAAGGAAGGCGCAGGGCCCAGTCAATTTTCGTGACCTTCACCTAATGTTCAAGGTCATGGCGACACTTTGAAGATTTCAGCATGTTAAGCTGCATGTTAAGCTTATCAGCGAGATACCTCAAGAACTGTTTACTGGATTTTCTTCATGTTCGACATCAAGCTTCATCAAGGGAAGGTGCAGGGCCCAGTAGATTTAGGTGACCTTCACTTAATTTTCAGAGCAAGATATCAAGAGAGGTTGACTGGTCATGTTTTTGTTGACATTTAACTTCATCTTAAATTATGACCTTCACTTTCATTACTTTTTAAGTTTGATTTGATAATTTGCGGCTGGGGATTATGTCATGTTAGTGACAATGCTTGTTCTATAGGTCTTCAGCTTTAATTTGATATAATAGATCATGTATACCTCTCAATTTGATCAAATCACTCCCCTCAAAATGGGTTTGTTTCCTGCGCTATGAGCATCAATCTATGCAGTTGGAATTCGATAACATGCATCAACTAAGTTATTGAGCCTGACCTCCAGTTCCTGTTAGTGACCTCTACTATGACCTCTTATACCTGGATCTTGATGATTTGGTGATTATGCAGATACAGATTTGTACATGGTGTGTGTGTTTCAGGGGGAGTACATTGACAGCACGCTCGGGGCTGTGTTAGGAATATCTACAATGGCAGGTACGTGTTGCTTCTGCTGACCATTGTCGGCCATTTGCAGTCAGGTTTGTTTCATTTCTGATGTCCTGAGAGAGCCAACACTTGGCCAGCTAGCACTCTAAGGTGACATGCATTGATATCAGAGATGCAACAGAATACCCTGGTCCATCCTCGATAATCTCCAGGGTATACATTACGATAAATCTGCACTATATCCAGGATAATTTTATTACCTCCCTTGGCTAGCCTTTTATCCAATCAGATGTCTACGCTGGGAAGCTGGGAATGTACCAATCACAACTCGCTTTCGCTTCTTGAATTATCTAACCGATTAAACTTGGCAATACAATTGATGCAGAGGTACTCTGAAAGAGGTAGGAATAGCTCTTGCATATATTTTTTTTAAAGTTTCAGACCTGTCAATTTGTCTATGATTTCCCCCAAAATCTGAGTCGCACTGCGAACAAACCTTCGCAGCTCCAACTGCTACCTTTTTTGACAAGATTGGTTGTAACGGCGGCTTAGCTGATTGGCTACTGTGAGAATTCGGAGCAAGCAAAGTGAGGTAATAAAATCATTGTGCCGAGCCATAGATGCATCCAGGGTATAGTGGAGATTTATCGTAACGTATACCCTGGAGATTATGGAGGATGACCCTGGTCGTGATACGATACATATCCCGATACAAAGCTTGTGATACTTTTCTTATGCTAATAATGCTGTTATTTCATAAAGAGTTGATTCTGTCTGATATCAGTGAATCATAAATCATGGTTTATCATGGGATATGAAGAAGATGGGATATCGTAGGGTAGCACTAAGTTTGATTATGATATTTTATTTCACGAGTCACCATAATTCTCATTCCTTCTTGAACTTGGAGAAAAACGTCTCTAAAATGGTGCCCCACTGTGTTTAGTGTAGTTGTCCAGCTGAACCTTGGAGTGAAGGTCAGGGGTATTACTGAGCCCTGCTCACATTTTATGGGGGTGGTGGGGTAGCCTAGTGGTTAAAGCGTTGGCTCGTCACGCCGAAGACCCGGGTTCGAATCCCCACATGGGTACAATGTGTGAAGCCCATTTCTGGTGTCCCCCGCCGTGATGTTGATGGAATATTGCTGAAAGCGGCGTAAACCCAAACTCAGTCAGTCAGTCACTTTTTATGGGTTGTTATTTTATTGTGAAGCACATTAGAGCACACTATATATTTTTTCCATTTGAAAATATTTCTTGATCCCTTACTTGTTTTGTTCAGTATATACTATTAATTGAAATTATGGCAGCAAGATCAAATATACTCAAATATGACAAAGCTACTGCTATTGAAATTTAGTGAAACAAGACCAAGTTGTTTTCTGCGCAGTGACATTTGTTCATTATCTGTTACTGTCACTGCTGACATTTTCTTACGGCTCATCCTTCTCTGTCATTCACTAGCTTGTCACTAGCCTGTCAGAACAAGACCAGATATCTTTTTTATTATATTTTTCTGTCTGTCTATTCATTTCCAATTTGTAGTTAAAGGCGAACATTGAAAACTTTCACAATTGTTGGCAACTAGTCAGTGAGGACTAGAAAGATGTTTAGTTATCCTCAGACTAATTTAGTTGTCTCTGGCTTGTGCATTTTGAAAGTTGTTTGCTAATAAGTGACTTCTGTTACAGCTGCTGGGTTGGGGAACTTAATCTCGGATGTAGCTGGACTCGGGTAAGTGATGCTTTGTTAGAGGAGGCTCCGGATATGTGTACACCCAGACTTATTATTTAGGCCAGACCAATTTCATTTCTTGTTTTACGGATTTTTGTCCTCAGAAAACCTAAAGGCAGGAGGACAAAAAAATAATAAATAAATAAAAATCACCAGTCAAAGTAATAATCCTTTTAAATACTAAAAGTATTTTACTTTGGGCAATTTATGAAGTATATATGGGGCAAAAACAATCTAAAAACATTTCTTGCACATTTACATTTTTGGCTAATAAAAATAGTAAAATTTTATTTTTTGAGCGGGAAAATTAATTTTAATTTTTTTTCTTATTCTTGAAAAAAATATGACCGACAGATCCGTAAAACAAGAAATATGAATGGTCTGGCCTTACCATAGATCGATGTCTATAAAGTGACCCGACTAATATCCTACAACTCCCCAATCCCCTGTGTGTACTGTCCCGATATTTGCAATAATAATAGTAATGGCACTTTGTTTTACCTTCTCTTGTGTTCAGTCCATATTATTGTTGTGTGTTTTTCTGGTATATCAGAGATGCAGAAGTGATATTGGGATGGTCTCTTGGAAGTATATTCAACAAATAGGGAGCGGTGGGGTAGGCTAATGGTTAAAGCCTCTGCTCATCACGCCGAAGACCTGGGTTCGATTCCCCACATGGGTACAATGTGTGAAGCCCATTTCAGGTGTCCCCTGCTGGGATATTGCTGGAATATTGCTAAAACTAAACTCACTCACTCACTCACTAACTCTTCAATAAACATGTTTTTAATCATCTTTCCAGATCTGCATCATATGTGGAGAGGCTCGCTGCAGCAGCTGGTGTGAGAGCACCCCCTCTCACACCCCCACAACTCGACATGAGGTCAACGAGATTTATGTCAAGTTTTGTGAGTTATTCCCCTTACGTCACTGTCCTTATTCACTCAGGTGCAGTTTGTAAGGCTGGCTATCGATATAAATCATACCGATCAATAATCGTTAATCAAGTATTGATTGATTATCAATAAATATTGGAGAAGTAACTTAGAGCAAAATGCCATAAAAGTCTGAAAGAAATTATATTTCACAGCAAAGATGAGTCGTGACATATTTATGCTTGGAGTTAGGGAGTTAAACTTTAAAGTCACTTTGGCAATATTTCATCCATATCGTGACTAAATGAAGTTATACTTTAATATAAATGAAAATTAAATTATAAAAACCTGTTGACGAAGTACAGTAAAGCAACTAGATTATCACAGTTAGAAATTTAACACTAGTAACTAAATCTAAAACATTTTAACCATACAAGACAATACGATATAAAAACAGGCCATAGATTGCCAACAACTGAAGGCAGATCACCACACCAGGGACATTTATGCTTGGAACAAAACAGTGTTCAGAACATACTTTAGAAGCTGCCTATACATATAGACTTTCAAATAGTTTCAGAATTGATATCAGGTTATAATCTGTTCATAGGAATAATTTTGTGGGAAAAGAAGTTTGTGATAAATTACCGGAAAAATAAACAAATTATTTGGAATAAGAATATATTTTTTCAGACATGAGAGTAAGAATAATTTAAATTAAATTATATGTGACTTTGGAATTGAAAGTAACATATGTTATATTTGGAATTGAAGATTTACAAAGTGTAAGGCAGGCTTAATTTTTAAAAATGAATTCAAATATGTATAGCTTTGAATTTGCCAAAGTGCAAAAAGGTTATCGTGGAAGATATCACAACAGATTTAGGGCTGTGGTTAGCTTGGTGGTTAAAGCGTTTTTGCTCATCACATTGAAGACACGGGTTCAATTAACATTAAATTGACATGTTATTGCATATATAGGGAGATGTGTATGCATATTATTGTGGCTGCTTGATGTATACTTGATGTATGCATGGACTACTGCTGGTTTTGTTGAATGATATGATGCTACAGGGTAATATGGATGCACATACATTTTGTCATGTATGGGCAGGGTAAAAAGTATAGCTTTTTAGTATAGTTTTTTACTATTCTTTGGTGCGATGTAAATAGGATCAAACTTCAGCACTTCAACATTCCAGGCAAACACTTTATCCACAAGTCCACGAATCCATCCTTGATGTACGTAGTCATGTGTTACTTTAAGTCTTCCAGTCTTTAGAAATGACTTGATGATTATTTCTAAAACTTCCTTTGTTTCAGGGCAAGATTTTTGGCATTTCCTTAGGTTGTTTGATTGGAATGTTCCCGTTGTTGTTCTTCAAAGATGATGAGAAGAAAACAGAAGAAAAATCAGAAATTGAGTCAACAGAGACCTCCAGAAAGCCTAGTGAGAAGTAGTGGATAGGGAAATAGCACCTCTCCATCTTGCAGCATTCGCTACCATCTGTTGGAACAGCAATACTCACGGGCTTGTCACCAACATGTGTTTGTGAACATGGGACCTCTGGCTCTTTACTGCAGAAAATTAGTTTTGCATACTGTTGTGAATTGGAAAGAATGGCAAAAAATGGAAATGGTGTTTCATTTCCGACTTAAGATTACGTTTGTGGAGTTATTCACTTAAAGGGAGAATGAAGATGGTATTTTCGTTTGATATATATGTACACTTTGTATATGTATTTATGACTTTTAATGCAGGTAATCTGCAAAATTAGCAAAGGGAGGTAATTGTGTCAGACTATTGGTTAATGATCATTCAGTCATCTATCCAGTGGTGATGATGATGATGATGATGATGATGATGATGATGATGATGATGATGATGATGATGATGATGATTGCAATGGACTGACAATGGTTGCATGGAGTGGGGTAATTGGTTTAATCTTGATTGGATTGAGAATAACATGTTCGTTATGATGTCCAAGATTTACAGTACAGAATAACAAAAACAGTCAGTATTCAAAAATGAAAGGATTTATACCAGATCTCAAAACTATGAACCTGCCTCCAGTATGATATTAACTTCTGTTGTTTTGTCTTTTTAATTACCTATTTAGGTTTTTATATGTTGCCATGGCAACATTACTTTTGTTATGCTTACTATACAGTAATTTAGTCAACCGTGGTATTTTAAAATCAACAAGTTTATGTGTTAAGATATAGCCATGGATGAATTATGTATTGCTATGCTACACAATGCTGACACACATGAATTGGCTTCACTCAGTTCAATAAACAGTAATCTGAAAGTAGCATTTCTCTAGACCGCATGTATGTAGACAGTGTTTTAAAAGCATGTTTATAGACAGTGCACTAGAAGTATTTGGCTAGACAGTACTGTAACTCTTAGTGAATCTATAGACAGTACTTTAGAACAATGACTCCACACAGTACTCCAGGAACGTATCATTTGACAGAACTCTAGAAGTGTGCCTGTAGACAGAACTCTAGAAGTGTGCCTGTAGACAGAACTCTAGAAGTGTGCCTGTAGACAGAACTCTAGAAGTGTGCCTGTAGACAGAACTCTAGAAGTGTGCCTGTAGACAGAACTCTAGAAGTGTGCTTGTAGACAGTACTCTAGAAGCATTTTACTACTCTAGAAGTGTGCAGAACTTTGGAAACATCCCTCTAGAGACAGTACACAAACTTTGCCTGTTAGTAGATCATTGTACTAGACCATTCACAGACCATATTGACCCAGATACAAGAGTTACTAGACAGTACACAAAATTTGCATGCAGTAGATCATTGCACTGGACTATTCACAGACCATATTGTCTAGAGGTGTGACGATACAGAAATTTCCACGATCACGACACGTGTCGCGATATCTTGGAACAATATGATTCGATTCGATGCATATCACGATATGCTATCTTTAGTTATTTTCTTTAAAATAGTGTATTTTGACAGCAAGTAACAGTGTAAATTTCGACAAAACCGTCAATTTCTTGTGAAAATTCACTACTTTAAGGTCAACGATACATATCACATACGTAAAAAAATATCGATATATTTATTGTCAGATAAAGTATCACGATTATCGATACTATGATATATCGTCACAGCTCTAATATTGACCCAGATACCGGAGTTACTTGTCTTAGTCCGAAAATCTTCACTTATGTGGCAATGTTAAGGATCGGAATTATTGTGAGTTAGGTAACATTGGTGAGACGTCATAAAGTCTGTGTTTTCTGGAAAAAGTGCTAAAATTATGTTGTGATTGTTGTGAGTTTTCACTGATGCTTCTGACTGTAATGGTCAGAATTGATGAACTAGTCAATCATTACTGCTGACTTAGTTGGATTAAAGCTTTGAACGGATGTTTTCTTACAGATTGGATAGAGATGATTATGATCTGGGTATGTAAGTGAGTGTATGTTTTTCAGTGAATGTGAAGATGCTATGACAGTGGCCATTTTCCTCAGGACTTCATCAAGCTTTGAGTTCTTGAAGCCATGAGTATTTTGCGAAACCAGATGTAAGCACAGAAATATGTTATGTTAACCATATGGGAAGGAATTAATGGTTGGTTTTTGTATCATTATTGCAGCAGATAACTCTATAACCTTATCCTACCACTACACAGTTCTAACAGTAATTAGACTTTCATCAGTAGGCTTGGTGGAAGACAAACAGGTACTAGAATTTCTGTTGCCTGCAGTCTTCACTGAACACAGTTGAGTCAACTGGATCAGAATATGCTCTCAAGATAATTAAAATGTTTTTAGTGTTATGTTGTCAATTATTAGCTGAGCATTCTAAGCTGATTCATACTAGACTTTGGCTTTGGACAAGTGTCTAGATGGACAATTGTGTTGATGGACAAGTGTGTAAATGGACAATTGTGTCAATGGACAATTGGTGATGGACAAGTGTGTAAATGGATAAGTGTGTAAATGGACAAGTGTGTAAATGGATAAATGTCTTGATGGACAAGTGTGTAAATGGACAAGTGTGTTGATGGACAAGTGTGTAAATGGACAAGTGTGTAAATGGACAGGTGTGTAAATGGATAAATGTCTTGATGGACAAGTGGGTAAATGGACAAGTGGGTAAATGGACTAGTGTGTAAAGTCGCTGTAAGGCCTTGGTTAGACTGGAACAGTACAGCATCCAGTATAGAGAAGTGTGCAATAGCTGCATCTGTATCCAGATACTAGGCAGTACCTATCATTAATAATCCTGACCAGTGTCCAAGAAACCCTGGTGGTCTGGGCAGCGCCATTCCTAGCAAAGTCCTCTGGATTAATGAACGTCCTGAACATATATGTTCCCTTAAGGTTTCTAAAGTTCCTGAACCAACAGGGTTTATTTGAATATTGGGTACGATTCAGAATGGTAATTAATTTATCATTCGAAATGTTCTTTGTTATTTATTAACTACATGTATTTTATTGTATTCCTCATTAACTCATCTGTCCTGTTTTAGTATCATCGCTTTAAACATATCAAAGTGTTGTCAAATTGAGTTGTAGTATGATGTGAAACAAATTGTGTATTGTATATTCCTGTATCAGACTTGTGTAATTTTTTAAACAACCCTGCCAAAATAGCTCTGAAAAAAATCTAAGATAAAAAAGTTAACGGAGCATATTTCAGGGGCATGTAGTGACAATTTGTATTTGGTATACCTGTATTCAATACTTTATAATGCGTCTTTTAGTTTTGTTGCAATGTTGAGATTTGTATAATTGTTCACAAAACCAACTGATGGTCTAGTTAACAAAATGCATCTTGTTGCTAGTGTATCTAAGACCCTCTGTCCAAGTTTTCACATTTTTGGTATGTGTGCAATAGATCACTTTCGCAAGCAGTTGAGAGATAAGATATAAATCTACAATAGCAATACATGATTTGACAATTAATTGAAGAAAACATACTAAAAGCTGATCTTACGCATGACACAGGTTCAACAAGGTTTTTCACACAGACTTTTCATAATAGGTTTTTTATAACCTGTAGTCAG